CCTATCCCAGTGAGGTGGGCACAGCTGTTTGCTGAAGAGAGTGAGTGTCCCAGTAGGCCTAGGAGCCTGTAATGGCTCTCGCCTAGACAGTATTTGCAGTTCTTGGGCTTTGGGTGGTGCCCTGTCCTCTAGTTTGGGCAGCTGTGCTGCCTCTGGATGGGCTTTTCCTCCCAGGGCTCAGGGTCTGTGCTCTGCTCAGGGTCTTGTCTTCTCCAGGCCAAGCTCAAGGCAGCAGCCTGTTCTGTGGTATTCCAAGCACTAGGCTTGGAGGGAGAACTTTAAACTTGTCTGCTTTTATGGACATAGGACCCTGGGTACAGGTGCCCAGAGTCTGCTGAGAGCTTTGTCTGGTTAATCCTGGGTCTGTCGGTTCATTTGCCTGCCTGCCAGCCTGTTTTGTGGTGAGCTTTCTGGGGTCTATAGCCTTGTTGATTAGTATATATTGATCTTGTTCATGCTCTCCTCAGCAGAGTCTTCTTCCCTTTTCTGAGGCGAGCCTTTGCTCCTGTGCCCTTCCTCAGCAGGCTCTGCTGTCTTACAAAGCTGTTAGCAGAATGACCCCTAGTGGAGTTCACCTGCTGGCCTGGTGGCCTTCTTGTGGGACTGTGGCCGTCAGCACCAGCAGTGAAGCAGTGAAGGCTCAGGGCTGATCTGACCCACTGCTTTCTTTTTGCTACCAGCCCTTTGATGGTAGAGACCTGCTGCCTGTACTGTAGGTGTCCTACAGGTTACACTACACTTAGCCATTGCCAAGGTGAGCAGCAGTCTCCAAGTCCATGGCCAGTGGTCAGCACTTCTGAAGATAATCCTGCCAACCTTTGAGAGATACTGGTAACTAATGGCATCATATCCTGGTCCGTAGAGATGCAGCTCTGGAAAGGGCTCCTTCATGGACCCCAGTCTCGGTCTTCTGACCCTGGTGCCAGTGGTGGGCAGGTTCCCATTCCTTAGGGCTGGGAGGCCCAGCTTTGCCCATTTCTGGTTAGTAACAACTGTCTTCTGTCCAGTAGTGTTCTGTTGCTTCAGCTATGGGGCAGTAAGTGTTGATTAGTGTAGACATATCTTCTCTGCCAGGATAGAGGTTCAGAGAGGTTTGGGGCCATGGATGACCTCCTAGGAATGTGCTGTACTTCTGCAGTTCCCAGATTTGGGGAGGCACTGCCCCATTCTGCTGCTTCTCATGTAGCAAGGGAGAAGGTACCCACTTACATTGCGAGTTCTGCCAATACAGCTGGAAAGGCTGGGATTTGCTGCTTCTCCTTAAGGGCAGGGCCCCACTTTTCAGCACCTTTGATACCTGGAGGGCCAGCTCGTTTATCTGATAGGTGGTGGCAAGTGTGTAATAACACTTTCTGTCAGTGTTCTAACTGCCCCAGGCTAGAGCCCTGTCCCCACAGGCCCTGCCTTCCCAGCCCCCGATTTGGGACCAAAGTGCAACTGGGGATCATGGGTTGGGGAGCTCAGATTGCCCCTCTCCATAGTGTCTCCCTGGGCTAAGCCCACACCAGCCCCGGGAGATGGGTGGGAGTGAAATGGGATGGGTGGTGCTTAAAGAGGAAAGGGACCAGTGTCTGACTAACTTGCCTGGGACCCCACCCCTCCCTCCCGGCTTTGGGCCTGAGGCTTCTCTCCTAGAGGCCAGGGGCCTGGGCTAGTTCAGTATCCGCTGCTCATTCGCTCACATCTGGCCACGTGCACGTTCCCTAGATGCAAACCGCTTTGAACTTTACAGCTGTGTAAGTTGGTTGTGTGTGTGTGCCCATTTTAAAAAACTGCATTTTAATGAGGAAAAATGAGAACCCTGGGAAAGTTCCTTTGCTCTTGTGGAGGAAATGTAAGACTTCGAATTCTGGAAATTGTTCTCTGCTCCTCTTTCCTGGAAGCTACACACCTGCCTACATACCCTAAGCCCTGCGCCTGGATACACACGGGGCTCCATTGGCGTTTAGGCGCGCTTGCGTTTCCCCGGGTCTTGTGTGTGATGGAGAGGAGGACTTGGCCCGAGCCGGCTCCTTTCTGTACACCCTGCGCTACCGCCCGCCCGCCCGCTTGTGTCAGGTCGTATATGTCAAAATAAAGCCTCTAGAAACTGAACTCTGTCCAGTCGTGAAACTTTCACAGCCTCCGGGTGGGCTGACCCAGCCAGTAGCTCACACGTCTTGGTCTCCACCTGAGGGGAGGTGCCGGGTCGGAGCTGGGGGACCGACTGAGCTGGGTCGGGACGGGTGCTGAAGGGCGGGGCCGGGGCTTGGGGGCAGCACCCGAGCGGCTGGAGGTGGGGGTCGGAGCAAGCACTGAGGGACGAGGCGAGTGGCCCTGGAGGTGGGGGTCGTCAGGGTGGACCCGGGGCGGGGGTGGGGGTGGGGAAGGCAGCACCTGCTGGGCGGGGCGGAAGGCGGCTGCCTCGTGGCGGACCCAGTTCCGATAGGAAGCCAAGCTGACTCCGCCAGTTCCGCCTTTAGATCCGCCAATGGGCATCTGACCCGCGAGTTCTCCGGGTCCCCATGGCAGCCCAGCGCGTTGGGAATCTAATTGGCTACGTCTGCCGTGGCGTAACGCCGGGCGGTCGGCTGCGGACGGCCCTGCCACGTAGACAGCAGCCGATTGGCTCTTCCAGGTTACGTCACTGGCTGCGCCGCCTCCGGCCGGAACTCCGGGCCAGCCGGTCTCCAACCAGTTCCTCCTCCGGTGTTCTGGCTGCCCCTAGACCCCACATCAAGGTAGAGCAGGAGGACGAGGTGAGGCCAGTCGGTCAGTCTGGCTGGTGAAGGACACGAGGCAGGGCACGGCGGCGGGAGTGCGCGGCAGGCGTCCGGCAGGCGGCCTGGAGGTACTTTGGAGCCAGGGACCCACGCCTGTCACCCGCAGGCGCGATGAAGGCACTGATCTTGGTAGGTGGGTATGGGACACGGTTGCGGCCGCTGACGCTGAGCACCCCGAAGCCATTGGTGGACTTCTGCAATAAGCCCATTTTGCTGCATCAAGTGGAGGCGCTTGCCGCGGTAAGGTCCTGGGTCAGCTCTGGCGGGAAGAGGGGCAGATAGTGACTAGGAGGCCAGGGGTGGTCATACCGTGTGACCCACCTTATTGTGTCTGACAGGCAGGTGTGGACCACGTGATCCTGGCAGTGAGCTACATGTCGCAGATGTTAGAAAAGGAAATGAAGGCCCAGGAGCAGAGGGTGAGGCGTGCATGGACTTAGTCCTTCCTTTTGGTCCCTGGGGCTTGGCTGACTATTGAGAGACAATATAACCATATGACTTTTTCCTTTTAGCTTGGAATCCGAATCTCCATGTCTCATGAAGAAGAGCCTTTGGGGACAGGTCAGTAGAAAAAGGAAGGCTATGGGGCAAGATTTGGGGTCAGTAAAGGGGTATTATCCAATGAATGAGTGTCTCCGGAGTCTGGACTCAAGGTCCTAGGCCTCTAGCACGGTGCTAACAGATGACTTGTCCCCTTCCCTAGCTGGGCCTCTGGCGCTGGCCCGAGACCTACTCTCTGAGACCGCAGACCCTTTCTTCGTTCTCAACAGTGATGTGATCTGTGATTTTCCTTTCCAAGCCATGGTGCAGTTCCATCGACACCATGGCCAAGAGGGCTCCATCTTGGTAAGAGACCAAGTCTTCCTTCTCTGGCATCCCCACCCTCATACCCAGTTGCTCCTAACCCTCAGTCTTAAACTCTCCGTGTTGTGCAAAGCCTTTGAGAGGTGGGCTAGGCATGTGTCTAAGGATAAAGAACACTGGACTAGGCCTAAGGTACACTCCACCTTCATATTCAGGTAACCAAGGTGGAAGAGCCTTCCAAATATGGTGTGGTGGTATGTGAGGCTGACACAGGCCGCATTCACCGTTTTGTTGAGAAGCCGCAGGTATTTGTATCCAATAAGATCAACGCAGGCATGTACATCCTGAGCCCTGCAGTACTGCAGCGCATCCAGGTGTGTAGGAGAGAATGGCTGGGCGGGCTAGGGTGGAGCAGGCCTCTGTTGGATGACCTGCTCACGAGTTGCCCACTTCCACAGCTGAAGCCTACATCCATTGAGAAGGAGATCTTCCCAGTTATGGCCCAGGAGGGGCAGCTCTATGCCATGGAGCTTCAGGGTGAGGCAGGGAGGCCACAGGGTGAGGGGTAGTCTGTGGCTAGGCAGAGCCCTCTCGGTCATCTCCCCCTCCAGGTTTCTGGATGGACATTGGACAGCCCAAGGACTTCCTCACTGGCATGTGCCTCTTCCTGCAATCGCTGAGACAGAAGCATCCGGAGAGACTATACTCAGGCCCTGGCATTGTGGGGAATGTACTTGTGGTGAGGCCCCTGCCCAGCCTGTCACTGGTCCTCTCAGATTTGGGAGACAAATGACCCACTCTTCCTTTCCTCGACACTCAGGATCCAAGTGCCCGTATCGGTCAGAACTGCAGCATTGGCCCTAATGTGAGCCTGGGTCCTGGTGTGGTGGTGGAGGATGGCGTGTGTATCCGGCGGTGCACAGTGCTTCGGGATGCTCACATCCGCTCCCACTCCTGGCTTGAGTCGTGTATCGTGGGCTGGCGCTGCCGTGTGGGTCAGTGGGTAAGTCTGTGAGCTGGGCTGGGTGGTGACAGGAGCAGGGAATCTGTGTGCCCCATTGACAAGGCTTACTTCCCCCACCCCCAGGTGCGCATGGAGAACGTAACGGTGCTGGGCGAAGATGTCATAGTTAATGATGAACTCTACCTCAACGGAGCCAGTGTGCTGCCCCACAAGTCTATTGGGGAGTCGGTGCCAGAGCCTCGTATTATCATGTGAGGGACGCACAGGGCTGGCCACGCCCCTCTGGACCAGCAGTGGTGTAGCGGTCACTCAGCACTTCGCAAGACCCTGGATGTGGTGCCATTTGTCTGGGAGCAATGGGGGAATCTGAAGCTCTTGGACATCCGCTTCTGATGGGGCCAGAAACTGACAGGATCCTGCTGGGCAAGCCCCGCCAGCCCCACTCCCACAAGAAGAGCTGGGGCCAGGGCTGTATGGAATAATAATTTAATGCTCACTGTAGCCTGGATTGCAAGTCAAGCTCAGGCGTGATTAGGGCCATGGCTGGGCTCCCACCAATGAGGCTACACCCAGGCAGATGGATGGAGGTGGTAAGAGTGAGGGTGATGGGAAACAGGGCCAAAAGAGCTCAGGAGTGGAGCTCGGTCTGGGTCTGCCGCTGGAGGGTCCAGGACGGTGCAGGCTGTGTGCATTAGGCTGGCCTAGGCAGCCGAGGAGGTGGCACTTGTGTTGGCCGCCTTGTCCCAGTCCTCTACAGATGCAATGGTGGTTTTGCAGAAGAAGCAGTCCTTGTTGTTCATCAGGTGCTGGTTGATGCAGGCTCTACAAGAGGGGGGCGGGGTGAGCCCTGCCCTGTGCCCTAGTTGCCCCCCCAAGTCCATGGGGCCCACTTACTTGCAGGACTTGTGGCCACAAGGCTGGAACACAGCGGAGATGGGGTGGGCATAGCAGATTGGGCAGAGGTCCTCTTCACTGGTGGGCTGTGGGGTGGAGAGTGAGAGTGGGTTGGGGCGCTGCCTGTACCTACCCCGCTGTGTACAAATGCATTAAAATGGCCCGAGCCTGTGTGGTCTAGCCCCACTCACCAGGGAGGCCGCTGCTGCCTGGGCAGACGCAGCAGTCAGGTGTGCCAGCATCTGCTCCACCTGGGCCAGCTCCTCAGCACTGATATAATCTGTATCTGGGTTAGTGGGAGGTGGGGTCAGTCCCTTGTAGGCCTAGAACTCAGTGCCTCTCGAATACTCCCAGGCAGGGAATTTGCTATTCTTGAGGATCCTGAGCTCAGGAAATCCTGAAACTCTTTCCTGACCCACCCCTGGCCCACTTACAACTTTGTAGAGAGAAGCGTTTCCGGTCAGGGGCAGGCAGGGCTGGGCCGGGTGCTAGAGGCTCTGGCTGCCCCAGGAGATAGCATATGGAACGGAGCTGGAAGCAGGGGTCAGCCAGGAGCACAGAGGTGGCTTTCTCCGTCCTAGACAGGGGAAGGTGCACAGGTAGTGAGTGGGAAAGCCTTGAGCCTATGTGAAGATCGCCTCCATGGTGGCGCTGGCTGACAATCCAGAGACCTCGTTTTTTATGCCTTCGTTCTGTGCATCCTGATGTTTACCAACCCTCTGAAGTCCTGGGTCCCCGTAGGTCCCAAACGACCTACATTCCAGTTAAAGGGAAGAGGGTGCTGTTGATGGCTCACAGAGTAGAAGATGCTCGCTGCCAAACATGACAGCTTGAATCTGATCCCCAGGACCCACAGAATGGAAGGGGAAAATCACTCCCCCCAGTTGTCTTCAGCATGAGCACCCACATACACACACCAACACACAAAGAAGTAAACCTAAGGGGAGAAGGGCGAGGACCCCACCTAACCCATAATACATTAATCCTTCAAAATCACTCAGAGAACGGCAGCTACAAAAAGACGTTCTCCCCAGACTTGCGCCCCTTTGCTCTTCAAGAGGGAAGCCGGCTTCCAGCCAAGAGAACTGGAACGCTGGGGCCCCCTGGTGGCCATGCCGAGTCTTCGAGTGCCAGGGCATGTGGCTGCTCCACCCCTCAATAGCAGGAGCCAATGGGAGCTTGGGTCCCCACCCCGAGCAGTCACTTCCTAGCGAGTACTTAGAATCCAGTCAGAAAAGCGCTTGGAGAAGCTGGCGGAACTGAGACCAGAAGGGCTGGGGCCCCACCTCATAACCCCAGACCAGGAGGGCAGGAGAAGCTCGCTGGGCTGGGCGGGTGGAGCCGGCATTGTGCCTCTCAAGCCATGGGCCGTTGGGGACTACAGTCGGCAAGCCTGGACGGAAGCAGGTGAGTCCTGGAGCTGTGGACCGGCACTAAGCTGCCCCGTCTCTAACCTGGTGGTCACTGCCATGGCCTGGCTGGTGGTGCCAGGCATACTGCTGTGCATGGTGGGTGCTGGATTAGGCACCTCAGATTTGGAGGACGTTCTGCCCCCTGCTCCCCACAACTGCCCCAATAAATGCATCTGTGCTGCCGATGTGTTGAGCTGCGCGGGCCACGGGTTAGAGGACGTGCCGGTGTTACCTGCCACTGCTGCAGAACTCGACCTGAGCCACAACGCGCTCAAACGCCTGCACCCCGGCTGGTTAGCACCCTTCTCCCGGCTGCGTGCCCTGCACCTAGGCTACAATAGATTGGATGTGCTGGGCCATGGCGTCTTCACCAATGCCAGTGGCCTGAGGACACTTGACCTATCGTCTAATATGTTGAGGATACTCCGTAGCCATGACCTGGACGGACTAGGAGGGCTGGAGAGATTGCTTCTGTTCAATAACCGCCTGGTGCACTTAGACCTGGACGCCTTCCAGGGCCTGCGCACGCTCAGCCACCTCTATCTCGGCTACAATGAGCTCGCCTCTTTCTCTTTCCACCACCTGCATGGTCTGGGGACAACTCACCTGCGCACTCTAGACCTGTCCTCCAACTGGCTGGGGCACGTCTCCGTCTCGGGGTTGGCTGCGCTGCCAGCCTTCCTCAAGAACGGGCTCTACCTGCACAACAACCCACTGCCCTGCGACTGCCGCCTCTACCACCTGCTGCAGCGCTGGCACCGGCGGGGGCTGAGTGCCCTGCGGGACTTTGCACGTGAGTACACATGCTTGGCCTTTGAGGTCTCCGCATCCAGAGTGCGCTTCTTTGAGCACAGCCGGGTGTTTAGGAACTGCTCAGCCACTGCAGCCCGAGGCGTGGAGCTGCCTGAGCAGCAGCTGGACGCACAGGTGGGACAGTCCCTGCGGCTCTTCTGCAACGCCAGCGGGCCCGCTGCACGGGTGGCCTGGGTCTCACCCAGAAATGAGCTGCTTGTCCCACCAGGGTCTCAGGATGGCAGCATCGCTGTGCTGGCTGATGGCAGCTTAGCGGTGCGCAGGGTGCAAGAGCAACATGCAGGCATCTTTGTGTGCCTGGCAACCGGGCCCCGCCTGCACCACAACCAGACACTGGAGTTCAACGTGAGCGTGCATAAACCTCGCCCCGAGCCGGAGGCTTTCAACACGGGCTTCACCACGCTGCTGGGCTGCATCGTGGGCCTGGTGCTGGTGCTGGTCTACTTGTTTGCACCCCCGTGCCGTGGCTGCTGCCACTGCTGCCGGAGAGCCTGCCGTAACCGCTGCTGGCCCCGGGCACCCAGTCCACTCCAGGAGCTGAGTGCACAGTCCTCGGTCCTCAGTACTACCCCACCGGACGCACCTAGCCGCAAGGCCAGTGTCCACAAGCATGTGGTCTTCCTGGAGCCGGCCAAGAAAGGTCTCAATGGCCGAGTGCAGCTGGCAGTCGCTGAAGACTTCGACCTGTGCAACCCCGTGGGGTTGCAACTCAAGGCTGGCTCTGAGTCAGCCAGCTCCACAGGCTCAGAGGGTCTCGTGATGACCTAGTCGCCTGGGCGCCTCCACACAGGCTATAGCACTCCTGCTGCTCGCTCTGTTTGCTGCTGCTGCAGTCTAGAGAACTGACAGACGCTGGTGGGACGCACTGTGCCTGGTCCCACCACTGCATGTGAGCCTTGACCTGTACTGTAACAGTTCTACTCACTGGTAAAGGGGTCGAGGCTCCCCGACTTGCCTCTTGCTCTGCCTAGCTCAGGATAAGGCTTCAGACTACTAGATCCTGCTTCCCCTAGGACCTCTGAGTGACCAAACGTCCCATGAAGATCAGGGACCAAGACCACCATCTGGGAAGAGCCCTCGCATTGGAGCTCTGGGACCACTTCAGGAGTTAACGCGGATGTTGGGTGCAGTACAGAAGTCAGGCGTACCACTTCCCTTCCCCGCCAGGGAGCTCGCCAACGAGGGAGAAGGCAGCTCAGACGGTCCAGCTCCCACTCTTAGGATGCAAGGAATAAATGAGCCCTTCCTCTGCTGAAAGAAGACCCAGTCTACCACCATCCATCCAGCCAGCCTCCGGAAAGCTAGTCAACTCCTGTGGAGTCTGGTGGGCATGCATACCTCCTTCAGGACACTCCTGCAAGAGTAGCCCTGATGTCTCCAGCTAAAGGGGGAGCCATTTCCATGGGCTCATAACCCAGCAGGAAAAAGCCTGGTGAATATGACTAATCTGGGATTCATGTCCCCGGAGGGCAGGAGGCCTCTTAGGGACTGGCATTCCTCTCAGCCTAATGGCTGAGGCAGTATCCTGAAACCATGTGTCTCTACCACTCCTACAGGCAGGCAGGGAAAGGGTCAGAACCACCCCCCCACCCCACCCCCCGCCCAGGATGAGCTGGCAGCTTAGTCTGTCCTCAATGACTGCTAAGGCATTTTGTAATAAAGGCAGTACATGTTCATTGCTGGGCCTTCCCAGATGGGTGGCTTTGTGTGCTCAGCTCTTGATCCAGCAGGGTGGCCCTGACCATCAGAGGATGGTACATCTTCCAAGCTTTGGCATGTGTGCCCCTGCGAGAGGCATGGCTGCAAGCTAAGACCTCCCACCCAGCCAGAGTTTACACCTCACCGTGGCCTATCCTTTGCCTCAGTGTCCCCAACTAGAGTCTGAGGTTCATTTTGAGACAAAGGAACACATACAACAAAGCCCTGCCCTATCAGCCCCTCCTCAAAGGGCACGCCCAGTTCCCATGGGGGCCAGCAGTCCCCAACACTCACTCTGAGGCTGGACCATGCACCAGGAGGCGTACCAGGATGCCGGTCACTGCCACCAGGATAGGGTAGTGGTCCACGCTCTCCAGGCCTAAGGGGAGGGGAGGAAGATGAAGTGCTCGTACAGTTCTGTGGCAGGAGCTCCGGGCCTGGCTGATACCACTGGCCTCTCCCACTACTCTTCCTACATAAAGGCAGGCCGAGGCTGGGAGTGCACAGCACGGCCGTCTGTACTGAGCGGACAAGAGCAGCGCCGCTGCTCCTGGCCCAGAAGCCAAGGCCTTGGCGTGCTGAGGTGCAGGGCATCTGGATCCTTACCAGGAAGCCGCAGGGTGACTACACGGTCAAACAGGTTCCTCTCAGCTGTCACCCGGTTCAGCACCTGGTTCAGCAGCTGTGAGGGCAGGAGCCTATTGGTGGATGGGCAAGCGCACCACCTGAGTTATCCCCAGGGCCCGACCCTCCTGGGCCAGATGGACACACCTGTGCAAGCCGCCGCAGCAGCATCTCCGAGGTAGGGCGGGACCAGTCCAGGAATATCTCAGGCACGAGTGTGATGGTCATTTCCAGGACACGCAACAGGCTGACCGAGAGGTCAAAGCAGGTGGCACAGACCTTGAGTTGCCGACTGTCCACGAAGTTTCGCTCTAGGCGTTCAGCAGCCTGTTGAATCTAAGTCACCAACAGGAAGGCAGGTAGCAGTCAGAGGCCATGCACCACGGCTGGGCCTTGGCCTCTGCCCAGCCCACCCCAACACGCCACAGCCCACCTCCTGGATCATGCCGATGAACTCGGAGAAGGCCCAGTTGAGCTGGTTAAGGACACTGTTGAGGAAGCTAGGGGCTACATCAGGACCCTGTCGAAGCAGGTCTGCCATGTGCTGCTGCAGCAGGGTGGAGGGGCAGGGTTCTGGGGGGCAGATGAAAGCAACGTTACCAGGGACTCCCAGACAGGAACTGCATCTGTCACATACTGGAACACTCACTGACACAAGAACAAAAAGATGGCCCTCTAAGAATATTCAGACCATGAAAGCAGAGGAATGGCACAGAACAAGTGTGTCTCCATCCCGCTGAGCAAGCCACAGGCTACAGGTGTTTCCAGCACTGCCATCCCCAGGGCCGAAGCTGCCAGAGACGGCTGCCGGCCCGACCCGAAGCAAATGCTGAATCACATGTGTGCCGGAAAGTCAGATACAGACAAGACAACTCAGACCGTTCCCACTAGCATCAAGGCCAGCTTCTGCAAGAGCCCAGACTGGGGCCTGCTGTCCTCTGCTGCCCTTGGCCTGGCCTTGGCATATGGCTTAGATGGTGAGTGCCAAGTCTGGGCTGGAAGGGCAGCAGTAACCAGAGCTCTCAGCTGCAGCTGGTCCAACATACCTCTCCAACCCTCTGATGCAAATCAATAGTTCCTGCCATAGGAGAGTATCTGCCCCCCTGCCCCTCCCCACTCGCAGTTCAGTTCCGTCCTGGAGTCTAGACGGAGGCGTATAGAAGGACTTGCTGTGTGAGTCTGCACAAGACTTCTGGGACAGCCAGAGACCAGGCGACACTGGCTGAAGGGCAGCAAGGCTGGTGAGCGAGCTGAGGAACGTGCCAAGCCCTCGGCAAGCTGCACAGCTCAAGGTCTTGGCCAGGCCCAGGTGAAGACTTTGACAGGCACAGGAGACAGCGCAGCTTCTGTTCCTAGCCAAGTCTGAAGCCCATTTGGGTCCTGATCAGTTTCTAGCTTGTGCCCCTCGAGTCAAGGGTCCAAGGCCAAAAGATAACAACCAAGGAAGCTGCCATCCGGGGATATGGCAGCCGGCACAGGGAAGGAGTAGCGTGTGCCCTACAGAAGCCGTAGCGAGCTGGAGAGGCGCCGTGAGCCCTCCACCTCAAGCCCAAGGGAACAAAAGGACTTGTCCCAGAGCATTCCCGGGCTAGGAGGGAGTAGGAAAAATGGGACCCAGGGCAAAGGTTAGGAGCCAGAAAGAAGCACAGGAGATAGGATTGGAGGCGCTGAGAGGAGCGGGAAAGGGCTACCAGCTTGTCTAGAGCCGCCACCTGGACCTGTCCAACCTGGGTACTCACTTTGGAGGCTGGGCAAATTGGCATCCTCTGGTTTGGTTTTCAGCAGATGTGGCAGCCGTGTATAGCGGTACCCAAACCCACAGCCCTGGGGTGAAACAGCAGGGATCAGAAGGGCAGGGTGACCCTTCCTTCCAGGTGGCCTTAGCATTCCCCGCAGGTCAGGCTTACCCTCCAAAGCCGCACCAGGATCCAGTTGGTCTGGGCCCAGGGCCGTTGCTCATAGGGTGCCAAGAGGTTCCTCACCATGGCAATACGCCTGTGAAGGTGCGGGACAGCAGGAACGGGGTGAGGCTGGGCATGATGCTGTAGAGTGGGGTGTGTACCCCTGGGCTCCCACTTACTGCTCCTCAGGGATCCGTTCCACAGCCCGCAGGGAGTGTGGGTAGCACACGTAGCTGGCCAGGGCCTGCATCAGTGAGTCTCGAATGTCTGTCAGGATATGCCATGCCTCAGCAAGTCTCTAGCATGGGCTGGGACCCCCAGCCTAATGCCCACATGGCCACAGTTTAGGTAGAAAATGGTTTGCCAGACATGCCACTCACCCCCATTCCCACGGCCCTCTGGAAGACACCTTACCAGTGCCTACGATTCGTGGGTCAGCGAAGTGCTTGGCAAGGGTGGCAGCCAGGCGGGTCAGGGTCTCTTCATAGCCTGCAAAGGAGGGCAGTGAGGACTGCTGGCCAGGAGTAAGGGGTCCAGGGAAGGCATGTCCTTTGTCAGGGTGGGCAGGCTTTGTGTAGCAGGACCTAGAGCTGGCCGTGGGGCCAGTCTGGACCCACGCTAGCAGCGACAGACAAGGCAAGGCAACACAATCCACTGGCAACTGGGGAGGGGGTTACGGCACAGATCCGCTGTGGGGAGTGGACAGATTCGGAAAGAGCTCCGACCCAGGCTCCAGCTCACTCTGGAATATTCCTGATGGCTTGGCAGTGAAAGCTGCTCAGTCCCCAGATCTCTGAAGACAGAGAGAGCATCACCAAGGACTGGGAGGCACAAGGTAAGTGAGGGGCTGCCAGCTTACAGCCTACTCTGGATGCCCACTGCAGGGCCAGCTTGGATCAGTGGTCTGGATGAAACCAAGGCTCGTACTGAGCCCCAGCAGGGCTCACCTTTTCTTATGTTTTACAAAACACGCTACTGTGCCCGTCCCACTGCCACTGTGAGACCAATAACCAGGTGGCAGGGAGAGGAGCCACGGCAGCTATCAGCAAAGGAGAGCAGGCTGGGGTCCCCACCCATCTGCTGTCCTCGGTGTACCTCTGCTGCCACTTCTGAGCCTGCAGGCACGAGTCTGGTCGTGACAGTGAACTTGGGGCTTGCCGAGCTCACTCTAAAGGTCTCTTTCTGCACTCCCCTCCCTAAACTGCAGTAGTCCCATCACCTGGGAGCTCTTCCATGCTGTGCACAGGGCCAAAATAATTCTTGAGAGCACTGTAGCTGTTGATGGCCACGCTCAGGTAGAACTCAGGCATGAAGGCGAAAAGAGATCCTGTGCGATCCCCATGCTCGATGGTCCGTAGGCAGACACGCAACAGCCAGTAGATGTCCAGCATTTTCTCCTGCAGGAGGCACACAGAATGCTGCTGGGCCATGTATTGTGAGGGCCTGGTCTAGGGATCAGGAAGGCCTCCCCATGACAATGACATCAGAGCTGGGACCTGGACTACGGAAGTGTGAGCAGTGGCCTAAGCTGAAGGAATGAAGTCCTCAGCAGGCAGGAGTCCAGCAAGGCCAGGGCAGTTCTATGACCCAAATGAGAACCAGTTAGCAAAGGGTAGAGAGGGGTCCACAGAGAGGCTGTAGAGGCCAGTGGGGACAGGGCTGTAAGGGAGCCAGGCCTAACTAGAGAGCCAGGACTGGGATGACAAGACAGGCTGGGTGGCCCACACACCCAGAACGGTGTCCCCAAAGGAGAAGGAGTGGATCTGGAGAGAGGGAAGGTGGAGGGGGCTGGGAGGAATAGAGGGAGGGGAAACTGTGGTTGGGATGCAACGGATGAGAAAAGAATAAATAAAACATAAAATAAAATAAAGATAACAGCTGTTACTTGAAAAAGAAAAAGAGAACGGTGTCCCCATTTCTGAAGGTGACGGAATGGAGAAGCCGGAAGAGGGCGTGTAGCTCAGCACAAAGAGCGCGGGGCACCTGTGCATGCTCGCAAAGAATGCACCCGTGCATGCTCGCAAAGAATCTGTGTGGAAGAAGCAGGCACTTTTGGGCTGGAGCTCAGAGAAGCTGGTGGGAAAGGGAAGAGGCGTGAGTGCTGTAGGACGAGAAGCCATCAAAAAGGGCCTTATCCCCACAGTGTGGCTCAGAGTCTCCTTCAGGATTCAGTGAAAGGACACAAGACCTAGGAAGGTGCCAGTTCAGACGGACAGAATCTGCACTCGACACTAGCTCTGAGGTGTCCCAAATCCCAGGACCAGAGAAAATACACAGAGGGGCGAGGAGGGGCCTGAGCCCACACAGGGGCACTGGGTACGCTGTCACCACCGAAGACTCGGGAAGATGAGCCTGAGGCAAGATGACAACGGCACCATTTTAGTTAAGGGCCCAAATGATGGAGATGTGTCCCTGAGGCTGGGGAGAGGGCAGAAACTGTGAGCACTAACTCTGAGAGGGAGAGGAGCCTGGGCTTGACCAAGCATTGAGGAGAGGGGGTAGCTAAGACTGCAGCAGAGAGGACGGAGTGCTGTGGGCAGGTGCAGTCCAGGGAAGCGCTACACTGGCCCCTAGAAACAGGAGACCCTTCTCAGAGCAGACAGGAGGAACACAGGACGCAGGACAAGGAGGCTCCTCAACAATACGAGGCCAGTAAAGAAAAGCCTGCATCTAACGTCGTGCTCAGGGGCCCACGTTGGAGTCATTCTTTGTCTCAGATTCAGAGCGAGTCAAAGATGCCCATTTCTATTACTTCTTTTCAACACAGTATTGGGGATCAGAGCCAGGGGAATTAGGTAAGAAAAACAAAAGGCATCCCAACTGGGATGGGGGCAGTAAAGTCACCTCTGTTCACAAACACTATCTTATGTTTAGAAATCCTAAAGGTCACACACACACAGGGAGAGAGAATTAGTAACAAATTCTGGGGGTGCTGGAGAGATGATAGCTCAGCAGTTAAGAGCACTGGCTGCTCTTCCAGAGGGCCCAGGTTCAATTCCCAGCACCCACTTGGCAGCTCACAACTGTCTGTAACTCCATTTCCAGGGGACCGGACCCCATCACACAAATATACATGCAGGCAAAACACTGATGTACATAAAATGCAAATAAATAAGTTATTTAAAAAACATAATTATAGAGTTGGAAAATGGCTCAGTGGTTAAGAGCAATGGCTGCTCTTCCAGAGGACCCGGGTTCAATTCCCAGCAACCATAATACAGTTCACAACTGTCTATAATTCCAGAGGATCCAAAACCCTCACATAGACAGGCACACAGGCAAACCACCAATACACATAAAATAAATAAATCTTAAAAAATAAACACAATTGTATTTAAAAAAAAAAAAAGGAAGAAACAAAGTTGAAGGACACAAAATGAAAACTAGTAGATATTGCTGTAATCAGAGACCTCTCTATTCAGGCTTACTATCGCTACAATATTGATACTGACCAAAGGAATCCACTGCTTTCAACAATGTGGTTGACGAAATAGAAAACTTGGGCTGGAGAAAAGGCTCAGTAGTTAATAGAGTACTTGCTGCTCTTTCAGAAGACCCAGGTTTGATTCCCAGCATCCACATAAAGACTCACAGCAAACTATAGCTCTAGCCCCAGAGTATTTAATGCCCTCTTCTGACCTCTGTAGGCACTGGATGTCAGGTATAGGTTCAAATACATACATGAAGGCAAAGGCGCACACACACACACACACACACACACACACACACACACACACAATCTTTTTAAGAAAGGAGAAATCCATTCAGACATTCCTATGAATCTTCAAACGCCCTGAAGTAGCCAAAATACTCTAGCAGGAAACAAAGTTGCTCATACCTCCCTATTTCTTTCCTTCTTTTTCTTAAGACTTAATATTTTTAGTTATGTGCGTGTGTGTTGCATGTGCACATGAGCACAGGTGCCATGGAGAGCAGAAACATTGATCCTCTAGAGTTGGAGTCACATGCAGCAGTGGCCTCCCGGTGTGGGTGCTGGGGATCAAAAGCCAGTCTTCTGTGAGAGCAGTACCCATTCCTAACCACTGCCCCATCTCTCCAGTTCCTTTCTTTCTTTTTACACTGATTTATTTGTGCACACACATGCATGCATGCCACGGCGAACAAGTAGATGTCCAGGACAACTTGCAGGAGTCAGTTCTCGCCTCGGTGGCTGGGAGGGTGGTTTAAATGAGAATGGCCCCCAGAGGCTCACAGATTTAAATGCTTAGTCAGCAGTTGGTAGACTGTTTGGGAGGGAATAGGTGTGGCCTTGGAGGTGTGTCAATGGGAATGGGCTTTGATGTTTCTCTGCCTGGCTGCCAGTGAATGTACAGCGCTCAGCTCCTTCTCCAGCCAGCACCATGTCTGCCTGTGTGCCGCCACGCTCCCTGCCATGATGGCCATGGACTAACCCTCTAAAACGGTATGCAAGCCCCAGTTAAACACTTTCTTTTATAAAAGTTGCCTTGGTCATGGTGTCTCTTGACAGCAAAGAAAATAACGTAGTGGCAAGTGCCCTTACCCACCGGGCCATCTTCCAACCTACTGATTTCAAAACTTATTGTTAGAAACAACTAAAAAAATCAAAAAAGTATGGTACATGTACAAGACCAATGAGACAGAGTGAGGATTCAGGGAACCCTTCCCTACGTCAATCAGCAGGGAAGGACTGGTCCTTTCCAACAATGGCTTTAGGATACTGCAGCCTCAGAAGAATAAAACTGGACCCTGCTTTATGCCATCTACAAAAATTAACTCAAAGTGGATCAGAACCATAAACTTAAGACTCAAAAGTAAGCCTGGATGTGGTGGCGCACACCTTTAATCCCAGGAGGCAGAGGCAGGCGGATCTCTGTGAGTTTAAGGCCAGCCTGATCTACAGAGCTAGTTCCAGGATAGCCAAGGCAAAGAAACCCTGTCTCAAAAATTAAAAAAAAAACAAAAAACAAAAACAAAAAACAGAATAAACAAACAAACAAAAAGGGCTGGAGAGATGACTCAGAGGTTAAGAGCACAGGCTGCTCTTCCAGAGGTCCTGAGTTCACTTCCCAGCAACCATGTGAACATGGTGGTTCACAACCATCTGTAATGAGATATGGCGCCCTCTTCTAGCCTGCAGGGATACATGCAGACAGAACACACAACACTGTACACATAATAATCTTAAAATTAAATAAATAAATAAAAAAGACTCAAAAATCTACAACTCTTAATGAAAAGTCAACAACAACAAAGGCAGAGGTGGTGGAGACCTGGGTCCAGGGAAGGCCGTGTGGGAGGGGGAGCAGCCAGACCGCCAAGAGGGCGGGGTGAGTGTGAAATCCCGGTGGCAGAAGCTTCCAGCATAATGTCTCTGGCTGGTTTTGACAGCAGAGGAGGAATAGGCAAAAGGTGGAGGTGGTTTAGGTATGGAGCAGGAGCTGCTAGGAGACACACTGAGCAGAGGTAAATGGGTAGGGATGAGATGCCAACAGCCGTGACTCCCCAGTTCCGGGGAAGAGAAGGCCTCTCTCCAAGGGTACCTAGGAACAACCCCATAGCACAGCCACTGAGAGGAGCTGCCAGGAGGGATGGGTAGAAGAAACCAGTTGGGAGGGGCCAGGGGCCAGAGTCAGCCCTGTCGGCACTCCACTGGCATGGGAGGCAGAGGCTCCTCTTTCAGGCTGTCTGTGTGTAACGAGTGTCTGGATAGTGCCCGGACACTGAGCCTTTACTGAATGAATGAATGAATGAATGAATGAATGAATGAATGAGAGAGAGAGAGAAAGAGACAGAGAGAGAGAGAGACAGAGAGAGAGAGAGAGAGAGAGAGAGAACGGGAAGAAAAGTGTCTGGACTCAAGAGGCAGCAGGTGAGTTAGGCAGAAGCAGACGCAAGAAAGCAAGGTTCAGGGAGGGCCACAAAGCCCAGATCCGCTGGTGGGGCGGAGTGGTTAATGCCTGAGGGGAGGGGTAGGGAGAGGAGGCACGAGGCAGGGCTGAAGGGCTGAGGTACACAGAAACGACCCCCTGCCTGCTGTGGGAGAAGACAGCCTGACGGACTCAGAAGGAGCACGCGCCACGGCCCCAGGACGACGGGTCCTTAAGGGCCTAGTACAACCTTGCCCAGGCCACAGCCAGACAGAGATGCTGAAAAGGGGTCACGCGGGGCAGGCCAGGCTGCTCACCTGGGAGTAGACAGTGGCATGGACCCACGCAAGCCGGCGGCTCAGGTGGTCCAGCTTTTCTGAGAAAACTTTCTGGCTCTTGGTCAACTCTGCAAGGATGTCCTTCCTCTGATCCCCAGGGAGAAAAAAAGACAATCAGAATATGGCCTCATGCCCATATCCCACTAGGCAGTCTGATATGGGCCTACTAGTGCCCAGGGAAGAGGGGTGGGGCTCCACTTTCTTTTTCCTTTTCTTTTCTTTTCTCTCCTTCCTTCCTTTTTTTTTTTTTTGGTTTTTTGAGACAGGGTTTCTCTGTGTAGCTTTGGAACCTGTCCTGGAACTCACTCTGTAGACCAGGCTGGCCTCGAACTCACAGAGATCCGCCTGTCTCTGCCTCCTGAGTGCTGGGATTAAAGGCGTTCGCACCACCGCCCGGCGGGGCTCCACTTTCAACGCTCACTTCTGCCAGTGGTGATCAGTGGAGACCCAGCAAGCCCCACAAGAGGGCCCTGGTTAACCCCTCTCTGTGAGCTCCTGGAGCGAGCATCCAGGGACACAGGACAAGATTGCAACTTCAATGGCTGGGGAGGCCCAAGGCTTTGGTGATAGTGGGAAGAGAAGGCCTGCTAGGGAGGCCCAGCCTGGGCGAGGCATGCCATGGCAGGGGCTCCCGGGGACTGGGAGAGCTGGGCCCGCTTCCTGCTGACTCTGAGAAGCTGAGAAGGCACTCAGGGTCCATCCATTATTAATGAAGGTGATGTGTATGCATCAGCACTTAGTGGGCAGGGATGGGGGAACCTTGGCACGGGCTGCAGCTGGTCGATGGGCTCAGGATATACAGGCCCCTCAGCCAGACTTGCTCTCACCACTTGGTGCGGTCAGGGCAGGGACAGGGGGAAATGTTGGGGCATTCCCAGAACAAGATTTCCTTTGTGGGATACCCTCGCATCCCGGGGACCACCACACACACTGTCCCAGTACCCACCTGCCCACCCGGGCCTTACCCTCTTGGGGCACCGGCGGAGCTTGTCCTCTGTGTCCCTCAGGGCCATTGCGTACTCGTTGACATCATCAGACACACCCACCATCTAGAGTATTGAACACCACACATCCAGGTGACCCTTAGGTACCTTAACCAGGCTTTTTAAAACACAGTCTCGACCCAGCTTGCAAAGTTCCCAAAGCTTGGCCTCTTTCGACAAAAACAATACAGGCCAGAGCCAGGCAGCAGCAGCAGCAAAGTCTTGCTGTGTGATATGCTCGTGTGCACCAGCACAAGCAGGCAGGCGTGGAAGCACTCATGCGTTCCACCACACAGAACACCCCTCACCACAAACATGGATTGACAGTGCAAGACCTTGCCCAGCTGCTGGTGAACGCTGAGGTTATACATCATGACTGTGCCGTCCAGGACTTCCAGCAGCGAGTTCTCGGTGAGGGGCTGCTCGGGCTCCTCAGGGGGTCTCCCCAACAGCAGGCCCTCATTCCAGTGGCTGCCCTCAACTGGGGAGCAGAAGACGGAATGAGAAGCAGGCTTTTCTGTTTGTTTTTTTGAGATAGGGTCTCACTATGTAGACCAGGCTGCCCTTGAACTCAGAGAGCTGACTACCTCTGCTTACTGGGACTGGGGTTAGAGGTGGTAGCACCACACCCAGCTTCTGATTTTCTCCTCAACACGCACAGGCTATCTGGGCCTTCCAGGAGGAGAGGGGATTCCCTCTCTCTTCCTTGTCTAGGAAGGGAGCTTCAGGGAGAATGGGTCAAGGGAAGGTGGGTGCAGGGCAAGGCCCTGCAGCATCAGGACCTATTTTTGTAATATTGATTTCATGTCTTCAGATTGCGCTTCCTGTGCCCTTGGGATGTGGCCAGGCCCCAAGGTGGTAGGGAGTTGGGGAGGAGGGGACTACTCTGGCTTTGCCAAAGATAAGGAAGGGGTTCTCCACAGCAGAAGGTCCCTCGGCAGCTCTGCCCAGCACCTACTGTCCTCACGAGTCCTCTGTTCCACATTCAGCGAGCGGACCTTTACTTTCTCTATGGTGCTCAGAGGCCGCCGTGGGGTCATGAGGCTCACAGCTGCTGTGCTGAGGAAGCGGTTGGCTCGGCCCAGGGTTGGAGAACTGAGCCAGCCTGCCCGGGGCAGGGGCAGTGCCCCTCCCATGGCCAGGGCTTGCATGGGACGCTGTGGTGGAGAAAGGGGGTCAGAAGCTAATCGGCTCTCCAGGACTGGGGCCTATGAAGGATGCTCTGGATGCACAAGGGGATAGGGGGGAGTTGGGTGAAGGGCAGGAGTGGGGTCAGGAGTGGGAGTGGGCTGATGGATGGGAGTGGGCTGAGGGGGTGGAGTGGGGTGAGGGGTGGGTGGATGGACAGGGAGGGGTCACGCTCCACCTGCAGCCAGGGAGCTTCCCTGTGAGAAGGTCCTTTCCTACAGGGAGAGAGGCTGGCCCTGTGTCATACCCCTGCCTAGGAGATGAAGGAGAGGCCATCATGAAGCCTCTGCCTGCCCTTACTGCCACACCTGGGCCGCCGTGGGGGCTGGCTCTTCGTCCTCATCCAGGTCATCCATGGTAGCTGCCTGGAGCTCCAGGGGGTCGATCACGATATTGGCTTTGGAAGCAAGGTCATCTGAGAGACATGGCAGGGTAGGAGGCTTAGGTCAACTACAGAAGAGGGACCCTCGATGGAACTGCTCTGAGGGAGACGGCGCTGGCAGGCTGGGGGTGGAGGGGGTTGGAGGATGGGGGGGTGGCTCGCACAGCCTCCCCCCACTGTCCCTACTCCTCCTTTTCCCTCCTGCTCCAACCCGGCCTTCTCTCTGCAGCTCAGGGGCTCCTCCTCTAGCTACAACCAGCAGCAGAGGCGCCCTCATCACAGTGCTCCTGTGGCTCCACAGCTTCCCCCAAGACTACTCCACATCACAGACGCACCTCACTCTGCGCAGACAGCCCAAACACGTCCCCAGCTCAGGCTTTGCCTCTCGCTGGCCTTGTGGGTCTCTCCAACATACCGGACTTGATATCCCAGCTTCCGCAGCCCTCACCCTGATGACACCCAGCTGCAGAGCTTCTAGCCTGATCAAGGTTTCCCATTGCTCTCCAACCGCCTACTTCCCTAGTACAGGCCCTTAGCCTCCCCCGTCACCTGGGTAACTGACCCCCTGCATCGGTTTCCCCACTGCAGCAGCCAGAGGGGGCGTCTCATCATGTAGGCCTACCTCCACTGCCCAGCCTCACCCAGGCCTTGCAAAGCTGTCCCTGGAGGGTTTGCATCATCCTCGGTGTGGCCTGTAAAAGCCCCAGACTGGCCTCACCCCTCACAGTCCCTGCTGCAGACCCGACTTACTTCCCAGCCAGTCTGAAGGCCATACTGGGCTGCTCCTGACTTTCATTGTTGCTTTTCGTTTTTATTTTGTTTTTGTTTTCCGAGACAGGGTTTCTCTGTGTAACAGCCCTGGCTGTCCCAGAACTCGCTCTTGTAGACCAGGCTGGCCTTAAACTCAGAGATCCACCTGCCCCTGCCTCCCGGGTGCTGGGATTAAAGGCGCACGCCACCATGCCCAGAGTTGATGCTTATTTTAAGATTTATTTTTGTACTTGTATGAGTGGTTCTGTACATGTACCATGTGCATGCCTGGTGGCCAGAGAGATCAAAAGAGGGTGGATTCCCTGGGACTGGAGTTAGAGATCAAGTGAGCTGCCCTGTAGGTGTTGGGAATCACACCTGGACTCTCAATAAAACTAACAAGTGCTCACAACTGCTGAGCCAGCTCTCCAAGGGCCCTGTTGGTTGTTTTTCAAAGAAAGGTCTCACTATGTAGCCATGGCTGGACCTCACAGAGATCTCCCTGCCTCTGAGTGCTGTTATTTACAGTGTGTGCCACCACACTCAGTCCGTATTTGACGTTCTTGCCCTTGGGTCCACAGTACCAAAGGGAGCTGTGCTCACCAAGGAAGGCAGTTCAGACAGCATTGACATATCCCTCACCAGGCTGCTAAATCCCGTCAACACATCTGGCCCCTCTTTCATCAGGGCATTCCTAGCCTGTCTCTGGTGCCCAGGGAAGGCACAGTGGCCAACCCCAAGATCAGATGCAGCCTAACAGGTCAACAGCCCCTGGCTAAGCCGGTAAGAAAGACTTGGGCGCCCTCTAGTGGACACAGGGCGGCTCGGCACCCGCGGCACTGCTGGCTCAGAGGCGCCAGGGCTGTTGAGGGCCACAGCCTCCACCCACCTTTCAGGGTCTTTCGAAGGTGTGAGAGGAGGCCCCCAAGGCGCTGCAGGTCAAAGTAATCCACCTTGCCGTTATAGAAGATCTGGGGCGGGATGTAAGCCTCTGCAAGAAGTCAGGGGTGCAGGCTCAGCAAGCGGTGCTCAGGGGAACTCTCCAGAGCCACAGGCTACACTCTAGCCTTCTGACCTAGGTCAGCCACCAGCCCAGGCAGACTGCAGAGCCAGAGCCCTGGCCTCCCTGTCTCTCCCACGCTTTGCTTAGGGTTTGTTTTAGGTTAATGCCAACGACTGCAGAATTTGGGGTGGAGGGAGGATTCTTGGCAGCGGGTTCCTCAAGAGAACAGAAGGACAAACTCTATGGGATATCCCCCAACCCAGAGTGCCTAAGTCTCCTACTGACCTGGGGACTCTGTCTGCCTAAACACAGGAGCCCCAGGGCCCATCCAAGGCAGCCCCACGAAGGACCGCACAGAGATCTAGGCACCAGGACTGAGAAACAATGGATATGATGGCAGGAGCCTGTGGAAGCGGCCAGCCAGCATAGACAGGCCCAAGGGTCCCAGAGTGTAGGGCTCCTGAAATGGACTCACCTGGGCAGAAGGCCTAGTTATCCTCCCATCCACCTCGGCTCTCTACACCACCACCAGTAGCTACCACAGACCCGGTTCCATCCAGCCTTGCCAACCTGGGGTCCAGTGCTTACCCTCACTGAAGGAAGCGTGGGGGTTGGAAGCTTTGTATTCATCCCAATAGAAGCGCAGGGCAGATACCAGGCGGTGTAAGAAGCAGACCATGTACTCAGGGGGGCAGAGCATGGGCATGTTCTGGGGCAGATGACAGAAAACATATATTGGTGCCAGGCCAGAGTCCGGCTCATTCCTCATCCAAGGCTGTGCCCCAGGACCCGGGAGGAAAAGGCAGTGATGACGAAGTATGACAGACAGGCAGCTGAGAGGTGCCAAGTGCCCAGAGCGCGGCCCTGCAACACAGCCTGGGGCCCACAGTGGCCGCCCTGGGGGACACCGATACCTACCCCCCGGCCGCTGGCATTCTCCTGCAGAAACTTCCGGAATTTTGTCAGAAAGATGTACCTAGAAGCTTCACCCTTCAAGGAATGGGAAAATCAGACTGTGCGGAGCTGACACTTCTTCACCTGACCGGGAGCCCCACTACAGGAACATGAACCGGCCCTGCTATGCGGGGCTGGGGGCCCCAGACAGCATCCCTCCCAGCCAGGGGTCCACACAGGAGTCTTGAGTCACTTACGCCATTGTCGTCTTTATTGTCCAACAGCAGCTTCAGGATCTGGACCTGTAGCCCTTCCACCACTGGGCGGGATGGGGCAGGAGATACAGCCCTTAGGCTCCCGGGGATGGGAATAGGCAGAACTTCGTGTCAGGCCCCCACCGCCAGGGTTCCCTGAGCCTACCCTCGGCATGGTCCCCCCACCTGCTCCGAAGTACACAGGCCCAGATCCCGCCCCCACCCCAGGCCCGAGGCTGGAGCTAACCTTCGATGCGCTTCTTGAGTCTCTGGCAGCCGCGCTCATAGGCCCGCCTCCGCTGCCGCTCCTCGGGGGTCTCCTCCTTCGCCTCCTTACCGTCTCTGCCCTAGGCAGGGGCAGAGGGCAGAAGAGAGCGAGGTTTCCTGGGCACTGACTCACCCAGGACTACTTCACACAGAAGAGCCCTCACCCAAGCACTTCCGGAAGCAGGGCCAAGGAGGCCCCAGGCCCTGGGCCCAGCACACGGGGGCAGTCCCTCACTGCGCCGGCCCCATCCCAGGTCCCCTCACCTCCCTGCTGGAGCGATGCGACCACCAGGTGGTGGGAATGAGTTCCTGCAGGCCAGCCTCCTCCACACGCAGGGGACTCTTAATGTAAAAGAAGACCACGGACCGGAGCATGTCGAAACTGGTCCTTGTCAAGGAAGAACTTGGCTCCCCCAAGAGCCTGCTGTACGCCCTCGTGAGCCCTTTCTCAGAAGCCCCCCTCGATGTGCCGCCATAGCTCTGCCACCATCAAAGTTGCCAATTTCACCATGTCACTGACTCCTAGGTTGGGAACCTCACGGACGGTCACGGTTATCAAATCAGCAAAGGTCCGATTAAAAACTTGTCAAAGGAACAGAGGGATGGGGTGGGTCTGCTGGTCCATCTCAGGCCCAGTTTGGGTTCCAGCGTCCCATGGTTTCTGCTTACTGGAGGCTGAAAGACATCAGCCTAAGGTGGCTTGTGCTTAGGCTTCTCAGGGAGCTCACAGCACCGGGGGAGCAGGAGGAGCCGCCTCTTCAGAGAAGACCTTGTCTGTGCGCACACACAGAAGCAGAGATGAGGCTGAAGAGAGCAGGCCGGGGGGCCTCCCCCACCTCCACACAGCTGCACTGAAGGGCCCCCCTCCCCTTTGCCTTCTCTGTTCTGTCAGGACTCAGCTGGGGTCCTCCTGAACCTTCCCGGAGACTCCTGGCCTGACGAGCACTGCCCTCTCTCTGCTGGCCTTAGGAGGCGCTACACAGCAGGCCTGCCCAGCACCGAGAGGATACAGGACGTTGCTAAGCAGAAACTTGCGGGACTTCTCGTGTCTCAGGATGGAAATAGTGAGGCGCAGGTAGTGGATCTGTGGAGAAGCGGGCGGGGCTCAGAAGAGGCAAGCAAGGTTCGGGGGCTTCAGGGCGGGGACAGATGCTCCCACCTGCAGACCCAGGTCTGGGACAATGGGCGAGAACCGGTAGAGACGTAGCAGGGACATCATCAACTGCTTGAGGCAATCCTGTACCTCGTAGTCCTGGGAAGAGACTAGGGCAGCCATGACGGGGCCTTTTCCAAGACCCTACCACACCTCCCTCGCCCTGATGGAGTCTGACAGCCTGGCCCGAGCCTGGAGTCCAAGTCTTACCTCCATGAAGAGCCACAAGAGGTCCAGGACCTGGTGTACCACAGCCTGCGCCTGCTCAGGCGTGCCCTTCTCCGTGATGCCCAGCAGGAAGCTCATGAGCACAGCCTCCACTAGGTAGACCTTGCGCTGCACCAAAGGGCGGCACTAGTGAAGCTGTGGCCTCCTGCTCTACTCGGGAGACCTTCCCATGCTCAAGAAGCAGGGCCTCAGACACCAAATCTCGAGCCTTTCAAGCACTTTTACCACAGAGATGAGCCCTTCCCAGAGTCTGACTGAGGAACAGGAGGAGCTGCTGGCCCACAATCTCTCTAGGGCTCTGTCACACCATTTCCTCAGCCCTGTGACATCAAGCCCCTTCCTCCCCAGGATGCTGTCCTTAAGGCCTGAGCCCGTGGCTATAGAGAACCCTGGCAGGTAATGCTATGGGTCTCACGTGAGCCCCCGCATCTGCCATGGACGCATCTGCATGGCCCCCCTCTTCCCTTCCCTGCCAGCTCCTCACCAACAGTGGTGCGAAGTGATGGAAGATGTGGGCCAGTGTGAGGAGGACCGTGGGCTGGCCCTGCAGCTGCCACGCAGAGCTCTCCTTCTCCACCAACCGCCCTTCCTGTGGGGTGGGGAAGAGACCGTGAGGGGGGGGGCTGGGCTAAGACCCCTGTCCACCCGGCCCAGACTCTGGCTCACCACAGGGTCCAGCTCCACACTCAGCACCGCCTGGAAGCAACCCAGCAATCTCTGTGCCCGCACCAGGTCCGCAAAGGGAGGGTCCTGCAGGGGCCGGAAGCCCGCAACTGGGTAGGTGCCACAGAGTTAAGCCAGCAACACCTGCCCTGAGGCTTAGACACACCCCTCCCCGCTCCCTCCCGTCCACGGAGAGCCCAACTGGGGCCCCCCCAAGCTGCACAGCAGGGGCCCAGGCTACACCACAGTTCTCCCACTCAGTCTCTGAGGGGGTAAAACTCCTTCCTGCTCTTCACCTGCTCAATGAAGACAATGAATGGCACCCACCCTGAAAGGACTTTTGTCCTTGGGCCAACCTAACTAAGATGCATCTTGTGTACACATTGCAGCAGCGAGGCCTGCCACCAGCCCACAGTGCTCCTGGGTAGGGAGACCCTCAGTTTAGATGCTAAGCCACCCCCAGCCATCTTCCCAAAATGATATCGCAAAGGACGGCTGCCGAAGTTGAATGCCACCGACTCCTTGAACGACAGGCTGATGGCTGGGAAGTAGGCCATTCCTAGGCCCCTGGACAGGTTCTCAAAGGCAGTGCCCAGTGACACACCATTCCTGGGGAGGAAAAGGGAGATCTATAAGCCAGTGCTGGGACGGGTATGGCTGCCCACCCTCGGCCTACTGAACTTGGCCTGGCTCCCTTAGAGGGAGCAGGAAATGAGCAGTCTGGCTGTTGATAGACAGGAGACTCACAGGCAAAAGGATAGAGTACCATCATCCAGATCAATCAGGCAGCTCACGATGTCCCCCGCTGCCCATGCCTGCCAGGAAAGGAAGCTTTACAGACACAAAGAAGCGTAGCAGCCTGCCTGACTGCATCCCAGGTGCACTTCTAGGACCACCCAGGGAAAGACTGGTCACAAGGAGACAGGAGTCTCCAAACCCCTGACCCTTCCCTGGGACCTAGCGTCCTTTGTGGCTAGCCTGTGGCTCCAGACTCAAGCTACAGGGTGGTTACGAGGTTGGTGATCCACGGAAGCCTAGCCCTCACCTTGCCATAATTCGTTGTGGTCACGTTCCATTTGCGTACCCGGTTCCCATCATAGGCGTAGGAGTTGTGTGTGTCTCCAACCCCTTCCTAGGAAGGAAGTGCTTGTGAGGTCTGGGGAAGGGGGCGAGGGGCAGGCCAGAGCCCACCAGTTACTAACCTAGTGTCCTCATGGCCCTAGAGAAAGGGTGTGACGTGTCTGCAAAGGAGCCAGGAGTGAAGGGTTCTATACTGGGTGCCCTCGAGTAGAATGAAGCATTTTCCATCTCCAGTGGGCAACCCAGATCAGGCTCCTGAGCGGGTCTGGGGCTGCCCCTGCTCTGAGGGTGCCTGCACCACAGGCCTCTCTGGGAGAGTCCTCTCCTTGTGTGTACCTCCTGATTAAAGCGGCAGTTGATGGTGCACCAGCCGATCTGCATGAGCCCCTGGGAGGAGATGAGCACCTCGTAGACCCACTTCCCTAGGAAGAGCAGAGGGAGGCCCAGAAAGTGAATGAGGGCGGTCTCTCGCCCCATTTCCTCCCAACTCTCTGGGCCTCAGCAGAGTGTGAGCTCACCTTTGTACACACATGTGGTAGAACGGATCGTACCAAAGTTGCTGTGTCCAATCACCTGGACAAAGAAAGCAGTGTTTCTCTCCGGGCACACATTTTGTCCCCAGCTGAGTTAGCATTGGTGGCACAAGTCTGTCATGGCCAGCACGGCACTGTGTCTGGCTGAGATGGGAGAGACTGTATCCACGACAAGAGCTTCTGGGGCAGAAGCATGAGGGGACCCGGGGCTTTGCTGAAAGGGGTTCAAATAGTGACTGTATCCAGGTTTCGGGGCTATGTCAGGAAGGCTGAAGGGCTAAGGACAGCGTGGTCTGGAGCGGTGACAGGATGAGTGTAAGGCTACTCCGTCAGGATGAGCACAGAGGACAAGGCCAATCAGGAGAGCTTGGGACTGTTAGGAGGAGCGGAACGAGGGGCCACTACACGTGTTCACTCACCCCCAGGAGGTCATCATCCACAAGGAGAAGCCCCTCAAAGCCTCCTGTGTGGTCTAGGACTACAGTAGATGGCCCAAGTCGCCCTTCAACTTGTCCTGAGAAGGGGAGATGTGTGAGGTCAGGGAGGGCAGAGGGTCTTCCAGACGCAAGGGAGGTGTGAGTTCAGCAGAGAACTCCAGGACTTGGCACCACGCTGTCAACCCCACTCCAGAGAACGCCTCATACCCTGGCTCTCCTCATCTTCACTGTCCACCTGTAGCAGCTGGTCCACATGCTCTGGCAGGTTATGGAAGTTCAGGGGTTTCCTGGAGAGGGAGAGGATGCTGGGGGCCCACGTCCTTGAGATCGGCCAAACAACAATCACCCTGAGCCCTGCTGGGTGGCTGGGTAAGCTCTGGAGGAAGGACTTACCTGGCTCTAGACCCTGGTAAGCTAACAGGAGCTACTCTAGGAGCTAACAGATGGCGTTAGCCACTAAGCTAAAAACTTATAAGCAATTGTACCTCAGGACTGTTTAAAAATCAAAAATCATCAGCTTCAGGGGGCATAGCACAGTCAGGAAAGTACTTGTCCTCAACCAAAAGGACCAGAGTAAGAACCCATGCAAGAAAAAAACGTTGGCTGTTATGGTATGTGTGTGTAATTTCAGCACTGTTCAGCACTGGGGAAGAGCATACAGGGGCATCCCTGGGTCTCACTGGTGAGCCAACTAGCCCACTTAGCAAGTTCCTGGCCAGTAAGAGACAGAGAGGACAGTGACTGAGGACTGATACAGAAGTTTGTCCTGTAGTCTCCACACGTACCACATGCTCCAAGTGCAGCGTGCGCGCGCACACAAACACACACACCAACCCTCTAAGTCTTAATTCCCTCATCTGTAAACAAGCAAAACAATAACAACAACAAAAAGAAAACAACCAGCTGTCCATCAAGCTGTCAAGATGTGAAGATCCCCACAAAAGCATGTGCTCCCACGTAGCTCCTGACCTAACCTACCTGCTCTCAAACACATCTGTATTGATTCTGGATGAGAAGATGAGGCTGGCAGGAATTCCAGCTGCCGAGTGGGCCAGCACCAGGATTATCTAATCCAGTCCTTAACCCTAAACCTCTGGTTCTTTTGGCAGCAACCTTTCCCACTACGCAGAAGGGAGACGGTGGTGATCGGTCACGCCCTGGCAGGACAAAGGGGTCGCCCTCTGAGGGGCTGCCTGGCCCTATCCTCTACCTTCCTGTCTCTGGATGGCCAGCAGAATACACGACCCATCTGCCCACAATCTTCTGCAGCTAAAAGGGCTGGGCAAGTTTGTCTGGGCAGTTGCCCAGAAGATTACTCAGCACGCATGCCCTGAGTTAAAGGGCCTATTAGGCTGGACATAGTTGTCCATACCTTCAATCCCAGCACTCAGGAGGCTGAGGCAGAAAAAGTGCAAGTTTGAGGCCAGCCTGGGCCACACAGCGAGATCCTGGTGTATGTGTGTGGAAAGACCTGACCTGAGCTCAGCTCCTAAGAATAGCAGGCAGTGTATTAACAACCAGCAGGACTTGGCAGGGCATTGGGCTGACACCCATCTGGATCCAGCTCACAGACTGGCAGCACCTGTTCTTCCTCCTCTAATCTCAGTACCTGCACGACTCAGCTGTCTACCAACAGTAGGCTTTGGAAGGGTCCGAGATGAACCAAGGCACCAACTCCCACCAGGTAGCTATGACCCAGGTTCACAGACCACATGCTTCCCTGCCGCAAGACAGGACTGAACCCAGACTGCAGGAGGCGGATCTATGCAAAGGCCCCTTCTCACCCTTGCTGAGCCCTCAGCCAAAGCCAGGAGCCATCGATACAGTTACCTAGCCAGCAACAGGGAAGGCTGAAGGCAACTTACTGTCTGAACCGTCCCAGAGTCCTGAAAAGCCGTTCTCGCAGGCCCATGGTTCAGGAGGTGTATGCACACCTGTGCCTATGCCGACAGCACACGGTACACGGCTCTGGGCGGCTGCTCTGACACAGCAGACCCTCCACTGCGGCATTGCCCACCGGGCAGACCCTGCCTGCCCTTTCTGGGATTTCCCAGCTGTAGTCTAGAATCCTACATCTCCACAACCGACTGACTGGCGGCCCGTCTCCTGGTGAGCACAGCACTAGCAGAAGCATCTGCTAGTGGTCCCATGGGGTGGGAGTCAGAGCCCATGGAAGGAGCCAGGATTAGGGCAGCAGTGAAGGGGCCCTCCAGAAGCAGGGACTTGCTCACCACCCTGCTACCTAAACAGAACAGTAACAGGGCTGTCTTCTGGGCTTCCCAAAGAGAAGAGATTGTGAAAAACAGAACAGCCCCATGGTCTGGGAACACACAGGTAGGGACATCCAGGCTTCACAGCAGGAAAAGCCTATATGGCTCCATAAGTAAATTAAGGTGACAATAATCTTAAAAGACATTGCAAAATAGGCATGGTATTTCCGTTGCCTGGGAAGCTAAGGAAGGAAGTTTACCAATTTGGGGACAGCCTGGGCTATATAGCAAAATCAAAACCAATTCTTTTTCCAGATAGGGTTTCCCTGTGTAGCCCTGGCTGTCCTGGAACTCACTCTGTAGATCAGGTTAGCCTCAAACTTCTCAAACTCACAGAGTCTACCTTCTAGAGTGCTGAGATTAAAGGTATGAGGGACCACTGCTCCACAAAATCACTTCTTAAAAAAATAAAAAAGGAGTCACAGGCCAAATAGTTTAGCCACCCCTGGGCACCCTCACAGCAGGTGTACACAAGCGAGTGTGCCTCCCCATTGAGCACAGTGGTATAGGCCACGGAAGAACTCTGCCCTCAAGATGTCCACTAAAATCAGTTCATAAAATGGAAAAATATTTATGGGTAAACATGATGATAAAAATAGAATTCTAAAGCTGGGCAGAAGCAGGCAGATCTCTGTGAGTTCAAGGCCAGCCTGGTCTACACAGTGAGTTCTAAGACATCTAGAGCTACATAGAGGGACGCTGCCTCAAAAAA